CAATGATCTTTAATTTGTTTTAAGTCCAAGAACTTGAATAATTTTTTAATTCCATCAATAATTCTTCAACAAAACTTACAGGCAAAAATTATGTATGTTGATCTAACTTTTTAAGGATTTTTTTTTCTTCATCTGAAAACACCCTTCTTTGAATTACAATTAGATCTGGTAAAGTTAAATTTGAGGTAGAAGGTACTGGAACATCCTTTTCAATTTGATTTGATATTACTGGCTGTTGGATAGGCATTTCTGAAACCTTTGCTAATTCCATATTCATTGCATCTTCTTATATTTCTTATATTTCTTCTACTCTCTTAGATGTATCTGTATGTGGAACAACATGGACTTTTTGTAATATTTAATATAGATAAGGCATCAGTCTTGGTTTCTGGCATAATGACAACATCACTTGTGTAAAGCATTAGGAAAAGCAAATATTAATATTACTATGCCAAAATGTAGTGAGCTTTATTACATTAGATTCATTGAACACAGGCAGAGGTAATTTGCATTGTTTTCTTTTTCTTTTTATTGCATCATATTTTTTTCTTCTAGATCATAAATAAGCCAAAAAATAAGGTCATTAAAATCTTCTGGCATTATTTCATAAAATTCAGCAAGTGTGGCAGGTTCTCCAATGTTTCTTTATTTTCTATGAGTTGGGTATGTGATTTCCATACAGATGTTGCTAAAGATTTACTAAATTTTATATATGATTCCATTTGTAATTAATTTGATTGTAAATTTTCATTTATAGATATTTTATTTGCTCTAAATGCTACACTTAAAAGAAATAAAGTTGGTCTAGGAACTATTAAATTATTAGAAGATATGGAGGATTCTTCTACTATGGATTCTGTTGATGTGAAATCTTGTACTATAGATTTGGTAGAAACTTCTGTATTAAAATTTTTAAAAACTTGTATTAAAAGATTTAATAATTTATTTTTTGCATTTATATCATCTGAAGAAGCAACATTGTTGATCCATCTAAAAAAAAAAATCAAAGATGGGGATGATTCTTTATCATGTATACATGGTTTTGTTCCTGTTCTTATATGTAGATGCCCTCCATTTGTTACCCAATAATTTGTACAATATATCTTACACATTGAGGAATATTTCCTTCCATTGTTGTTACTTTATCATATTCTTCTTGATTATCTTCATAATTTTCATTTATTTCACTCATAGACAGATTTTCTTTTATATTATCATCAAATAATAGCATCATTCATTGATTGTTGGAATAAATATTCATCAAATTCTAATATAGAATCAATCTGGTCATTGATTTCTACTAATATTGGCAATGAGTTAGCTCATCCTCAATATTGTCATATCCCTCATAACGAACTGAATTGATCTTAAAATAATTTAATATAGACATTTCTTACATTTTTTTCATTTTGGGTAACACAATAATTTTGACTAAAATAATAATAACAGATAATATTATTAATATTAAATCTTCCAGTCAAAAAACCGGACGGCCAAAAAATTTCCGGAAATTTTTAAATCTGGCCGGTAAAAACCGGCTGGATCTATAGGAATATTTAACCCTGGTTGGGAGAATGCTTATTTTGACAATTTGATAATTATATTGATGATATATATCATATAATAGTAACAAAAAATAATGACAAGAATTATTTATAATCATCTAGTTAGTTATATTTTTCTGCAGTGACTGATTTTACTTAAGACCAATAAAACAGATACTTTTTAACTTTGGGAAAATGGTTCTGATCCGATTTTTTAAGTGCAGTTTGAAATAGAAAATCAATCTAGAAATATGCTCTTCCAATCCGTTAATTTGTTCAAAGCATGCTTTTTAAGGGGAATTTTTTCTTTTATTTGACCTATAGTGGACAAACATCATGATAGACTGCTAGTACTCCACCTTCTTGTTTGCTCTGCTTTCCGAGAAATATTCAAAACATTCAAAGAGCTGGTTGAATCACTGTGCTTCTAAAAGTGAATATATATTAAAATTATTTGCCAAGTGTTTTATGGACTTTTTTTATTAATCAACTATTTATATGATTATTCCAATTTGTGTGAGACACTATTACAACCAAATTGTTAATTAACTAATAATTTATTTTCTTTGATTTATTTAGTTCCAATAATTCGGGAAAGGAATAAACTGTGGAGTTTATTTATATTGTGAGATCAGAATCCGCATCTCACACAAATCTAATGATTTGGTTAAAATAATATTTATTTCGTCCCACTTTTTTTTTATTATTTGTGGGCAAGCACAGGTGAAAGCTGTTTGTCATAAATATAATACCCTATCTCCTATTTCTTATTTAAAATCTTGATTTTTATTTTTTATTTATAATAAAATAAAATCATGATAAATAAGCTAATTAATGATAATAATCTTTTGACCTGTTTATTTTCTATTTATAATGATGAGACAAAATTTGTATAAAAATAAAATCATGAATACAAATCATAATAACAAGCTAATTAATAATGATGATCTTTTGATTTGTTCTCAGTTTTGATTCTTTTGCTACAGCAAACAATTCTTTCTTTATTTTCAATAACTTTTGCACTATAATAAAATTAAAATTTTTTTTTTTTTTTTTTTTTTAAATAAAAAATGTATATATAATAATAATATATGGATATACCTTTTGGAGCCTTTTGGTATTTTATATTATGAAGTTTCTTCATTGTTATCAATTGGATTATTAATTATCAAATGATCACTTTTTTGTTATTATCAATTCTGAAATGAAAGTAATCATAAATTAATTCAAGAATGCAAAAATGCAAAATATGAATGAATAAAATTTTTTTACATGTAAAATTCAATTAAAATAAAAATATAAAACTTATTAGTAAGTTTAATAAGTTAAAATAAAAAAGGGCTGTATATACATATATGAATACTCACAATCAATTGCTGATGTAAATTTTTCTTTGGGGAATTTCAATTCCAAAATTTGACAATTTTTCTAAATTGTCAAATAACAAATGCCCAATGCCACATTTATTATGACACACAAATTAAATTTCCACTTTTTACTCTTTGCTTAATTACTTAGTAATTATAGATTATAAAAAAAAGTGGCAAACAATTTTTTGTAGGGTGATATTACTAAAATTAATATATTATAGAACAAATTTGAATTGGCAATTTTTGTTTAGTGTCAAAAAAACATGAAAATATGGAATCGGATGTTGATTGTTGCCACCACTATAAATAACCTTTTTAATACAAAACTTCAATTGTTAAATTTAATACTAATCAAAATGAATGATGAATGCCACATTTATTTAATAATAAATGCATTGTTATTTGGTACTAATCAAGATTGTCAAATAGCAAACACCAATGCCACATCTATTTAGTAATAGATTTATTATATTTTTGGAACATATCAATTTATTTTTCATTACTAACGAATTTATGGCTAGTACATAATAATATAATATTTTCCAATTATGCCTTGCACAATTTGAGATGATTTATTATACAATATTGTAAATATTGTTAATGCCCGTCCTTTTTAAGAAAACATTAGGGACGGGCAGTAATGGCGCAGTAACCCGTCCTTCTCAAGATTTCCCCATGAATAATAGAAAAGGACGGGGGACTGGTTGCTGCGCCACTCCCGTCCCTCATAATTGCCCGCCCTTTTTTATATTATTTTGAAGTACACCCGTCCTTTTCTAGTATTAATGGGCCAAACTTGAAAAGGACAGGGGACGAGTTCAAGCCACACTTGCCCGTCCCCCGTCCTTTTCATGTGTCCCATTCAAAAAGTCAGTTGAAATTGAATTTATGAAGATTTGTCACTTCAATTAGTAAAAAATCAATATTTATTTGTTATCATTAGAATTAGTTTTATGTGTACATATCAAGTATAAAATATCTATTCAAATGCTTAATGAGTGGTTAAAAAGAATTATGTAACAGTTGATATGTCTCAATTTAGGAGGGTCTAGTTAAAGGTTGTGCTATATAAATAATATACAAATACAAATAGGAAATGAAAGTATGAACATAATACACATAATATCACAATAATATATATTTACAATTACATTGTTGATATTAATGAAG